TCACAGCTGTGACCTTGCTAAACATTAACCGCGCCCTCTGGACCCCCTCACTCCAGTGCGGGCACCGCCCTGTGCTCCGGTCTCCATGGACATCCTGCGGGTCCAGCCCGGGGCCCGGCGTGCAGTGAGCACCAACTACCAACGGGGCAATCTCTAATTTCCAGGCCAGGGGGGCCTGTAGGAAAACCCAAGGGAGCCAGCCGGGACCAGCAAGGCCGTCCCTGAGGGCTGGGGTGGCTGGAAGGGCCGAGGCAGTGGACCCGCCTTTGTAGCGACCAAGGGAGCTTTGCGAGCGCTGCAGCCCGCAGCCTCCCACTGGCCGCGCTTGAACTGGAAGGCAGGATCACGGCAGGTGTGGAGAGGCCGAGGCCGGGTGGAGCTGGCCCTTGGGGACGCACCCACCCGTGCAGGGACAGACAAGTCTCCACCTGCCTCCCAGCCTGGGGTCCTCGCCAGGGAGCGGGGGCTCGCCTGGAGGGGTGTCCCCGGGCGCCCAGAAAACGCCTCCATTCTTTGTCCAACGGGTTTTTCCATCCCCCATTTCTCTTTACAGAGAACTGTGTATTTCCTTGCAGACACTTAATGATTGCATTATAACGTAATAGCTTTTTAAATACCTGAACAACGCGATTATGCTGACACGGCTGTTAGAAGACAAGACAAATAATTAGCAGACTCGCCCTCACTGCTGTCACCAAACAGTTAGTCTCATGCCTGCGTCCTCCGGCTGCTGTTGTCCTGGTGCAGCTTCCGGGGCGCTCGTTTATGGTTCCTCCAAAAGAAAAGCGCTTCTTTCTGGTTTTCCTTTTCCTCCCTTCCTTCCTCCCTCTCTCCTTCCTCCCTCCTTCCTTTCTTGTCTCCTCCGTCCTTTAGCCACTTGACAGCCGTGCCGGGCGCGGCTGGTGCGTCCACGACTGACCTGCCTGTGGTGAGGAAGTAAACCCGTCGGATGCCCGCGGGGCTCGCTGCTCCCGCATACCTGGCTAGTTAGGAGGCCGAGCACATCAGGGGCTGGGCAGGGACAGTATCCTGGGCATCTCTGAAAAGAAGTGTCCCCGGAAAGAAAGGGAGACTTAACCCTCTGTGGCCCCTTCGCCATGCCAAGGGGCAGCGCTGTCTGTCTGCTGACCCTGGCGGGAAGTCGTCCGAGTCACTGGCAGTTCATGGGGGAAACGGGGACACGGCCAGCCTGCTGCTGAAGGAGGCGGTCGCTGTGGCCTTCGGGAAGGGGCACTGAGGGTCACTCCCACTGCCGCTCCTGCAGCCCCTCCCCCCACAGCCAAGTCCGGCAGGGCTGGCGCTGTCCAGGCCCACTCTGGACTGTCGCTGCTGCCACTGCTCCGGGCACTTGTCAGGACAGAGGCTGAGATGACCAGGACGGGCGTGGATGGCTGCAGGGTCTCTACAGACCCCCGGGGCCGTCTCCAGGGGACTCAGGTGCTCTGCATGTAACGCACCAGGCTGCGCCGTGTGCAGCGATCTGAATTACACGTGTGTTACATGGGTGCCTATAAAACAGCAGAAAGGTCTGCACAAAATTCTTGAAAATGTTGCAGACTTAGCTATTTTTAGAATAAAAAGTAGTTTTATAATTATAAAAGTAATCTACGTTGAGTGTAAATTTTTTTTAAATGTTAATTTGCTACACTATAGTTACCATGTTACTATCTATATGTGTCCCGTAACATCATGTGATATGCCTTAATCTACACAATACATTTTATTTTAAAAAGAGAAGTCAGTTAAACCTAATTTTAATAGTGAGTCTAACTCCTTTTCCGTGTGTGTGTCTGTGTGTGTGTGTGTGTGTGTGTGAGATCTTTTTCCAATTGCTTGATAAATTCTGACTATTTCCCCCCTTGGTCTTCGTAAGGCATTCATGGGAGGGGACACGTGAGCTCCTGGCTAACGCTGTACAGTGGAGAGACAGGACGTTGGCTAAACGTCCTTGATGACAACGCGGCTCTCGCTCCTGAGCACCCCCTGCCTGCTGGGCACGGCAGGGTCCCTCCCTGGGCCCCTCATGTTGTCCTCCGGGTGTTTCCTGGGGTCTGAGTGGTCACCCTTGCTCCAGATGAGGACACGGATGCACACGGAGGTCCAGTCCCCTCCCCCACGACCAGGCTAAGAAGGGCCAGGGCCAGACTGCGAACCAAGACAGGTCGGGGGCTCCAGTTTGCTGAACCTCACTCGTCTCTGCCTCTCTCCGTGGCCGCCTCGTGGGCAGGCACAGCTAAGCCACGGCTGGACCCCCGCGTTCTCGTGGCCGCTTTAACCACAGAAAATCACAGTTTACCAGCAGCCAGACACACACCTGCCTGTTGAGATTAGCGTTGTGTGATGTCGATAATTCATGCTATTTTTTTGCCATTCAGCAAGTATCTGTCCTTTAAATAGCTGGAGAATTTTCATGAGAATTGTGTAACCAACACTAACTTACGTCACCCAGCTACTGACCAGGCGAAGCACAGATCATACTATGGAGGCTACGTCTTCCCAGAAAGCATCCATTAATCCCATTTAAAAAATACAGGGGCACATTTCAATCTAAAATAAAAACACATTAGAATCAACTATTGTTTTATAGTTCTAAAAGTAGTTCATAGTTATTTTTAAAAAAATCATCCAATTAAAGCTAATTTGAGAGAAGAGTTAAGCTTATGTGTTTTTATTTAACGGAAATGCCGCCTTATCTATTATCTTAGGTCAGTTTCATTAACCAATTTGCCTCAGTCTCTGGGCCCCAGGATGTCAACCTCGCACGTCACTCTCGGGCTGGACGCAAGACTCGAGGCAGGGAGCTGCTGGGGCTGACTCTGCTCCTGCCCTTTGCTTTGCATTTTCACTCCCTGGTCATGAGATCGGAAATCAGACCTATGGACCGGTCCCGTGGGCCACGGAGTCGGGGCTCTGACTGGGAAATGTGGGAATGAAAGGATTTCGGGGCGTTTGATGCACAAACAGCTCGCACTCGGGTCGGGGAGGAGGGCAGCAGAGGAGCCCCCGGGCTGCCCTCCCGGCCGGGCCCGCGGAGTCCACACTCAGGTGCGTCAACACAGCCTGTCACAGCGGGTACGCTTCCAGCCCCAGAACCACCTGACGTGTTTCTCTCTCCATACCTGGGTGACACTTTAGATTCCTCTAGAAGCTTTTTGAATTCTTCTTTGGCTAGCAGCAATTTACTTTTCTTTTCCTTATATTCTTCTTTTATTCTGGTCTTGACAAACTGTTCAAATATCTTAAAACACATACACAAAAGAAAAGGATTAAGAAATCGCATATCGGAAATTAAATCTTGTATTGCAAGCACAGCCCAGAAACACATCGAGCCGTTCCTTTCCGAGTTGCTGGAGCTGCAGGCGACAGCCTTCAACTGCGGCTCTCACTGAAAACAAGCCCTCGGAATAATTAAACCTAGATTCCCACGAGCCCTGGTGTCTCTGCACACACGGGAACCGTTTCTGGGTCAAACCTCGGATCAGCCTGCCTGAGAAATCCCAGGAAGGATTAGCAGCCCTCTCCGTGGGTGTCTGGGAGCCTCCGACAGCTTGGAACGCGGCTCTGCGTGCCACACGCGTCTCGGCCGGGGCGTTCCGAGCAGCACTCAGCAACGCGCCATCTCGTCGACTTCCCCAGCACCGCCGGCAGCACCAGTAGCACATTAGCGCACTTAATTTGTTCTAGTGACTTCCTATGGCGCCGTAATTGGCATTTGAGTCTCTAAAAATGACTTTAATTTGTGAAAAGAAAGTAAACCCAGCATCTCTGATTCCCCACACTCTAGTCTGCGAGAAGACCCACTTCCGAATGCGGGATCTGGAACGAGAGCGGACAAGGCGGCCTCTTCTAAGGATGTGACCGGCTTCCCGGCTGCACGGATGGTGGGTGTAGACCTGACCCTCGGGCAGCTGGCAGTGACCAGAAGTGTGTTCCGATGCTGATCCAAACAGGAAACCCCGTTCCTCAGTGTAAGGGACGTGGGTAGCGTCTGGCAGCCATTCCCTGGGTGAGACTCCAGGGCGTTTTATCTCGGACCCTGGCAGCCCACACAGCAAGGCGAGATCGCCCCTCGCCCAGTCCAAGAATAACCCTGTCAGAGCACGAGCAATCGCCGTTCCAACGTCGGAAAAATTGTTACTTAGAGACTATCAAGGCAACGGGGGACAAACTGTTGCGTTCCTAAGGCTATCCAAAAGTCAGGAACATCACAGAAAACAAACTGGAGATAATTTAAATGTTTATGCAAACAAATAAAAATATCAATAAAAAACCCACATATGATCCTGTAAGGCCAATAAATAGCAACTCTGTACCCATCCAAGTGACGGCCGTGCAGATCTCAGCACCTGACCCAGGTGCCAGCTCAGAACGTCCGTCTTGAGCGCACCTGCCGGGCGCACAGAGAAGGGAGGTCACGGCCGGCAGGGTGCGGCCTCCAGCCATCGCCGGCTCGAGAGGGGCTCTCGACCTGGGCGTATCGGCTCGGACTCCACCTCAGGAGGGCTAGCCTCCACAGCATCACAAATACGAAACGCTCCTCAGCTCCTCAAGATGGCAGCACCATGAAATATTCACGAATCTGACTTAAATTTAGAACACGCGCGTGTATATTTAAGTATGAATACGATTGGCTTGTTTTACCTTCAAGGCAAATAGTAACGTGAGACCCCAGTTGTGGTACCATTTAAACTCATATAAAAGGTGACTGCGGGGTTATTATCCAAATAAAAGCATGTTGCTCCATCATGAGCCAGAGCTTTGCTCGACTGACTTTAATCCGGATAGAAAGCTTGGTTGGTGGTGAAGTCGGGGCTTGCAAGAAGTATCTGCTTCTCTGCCTAGAACCATCGATCCATCTAATCAAAGGTCTCTCTCTTCCCTCTCCCCTTGCTCTGTTACTTCATGTCACTATAATTTAATGTAGCAGGAAATTTTCTTTCCTCCTTAACATCTTATACCAGATTTACCCAAAGTGGGGCATGACTTTTTAAAGAGATACCGTCGGCCATTATCGTGCTGTATGTTCTTGTGTAACAAAACAAAGCGCTATTTGTTACCACAGAAACAGGTCTGATTTGCACTCCTCGACCCCGATTCTCTGTCCAGGATCACTCCCCTCTCCTCTGCAGCCCCTGGTTGTGATTTTCACACCACGGGCCTCGGTGCACCCCCGGGACGCTGTGTGATGGTGGGTCCCCCAGATCCTGCCTGATGCCAGCCCGACTTCTCCCAATTAGGACTGCGCCGTGTGAGTGGGGCCCGGACCCTCTTCCCTTCCCCGGTTCAGCGGCAGTGCCCTCCTCACGCAGGCTGCGGTGTCTCCCTCCGAGTGCTCCCGTGCCGCAGTGCGCCAGCTTCCCGCCTCCTCCCGTCCACGCTGGACCTCTGGGCCTCGGTGCGGTGCACAAAGACAGTGCCGAGTGTCCTCTGGGTGAGTTCCCAGGGATGTTCAGGCTTTCCCCGAATAGCGGGTCCCTGTCGTGAGCTGACATTCCAGTCCGATCTATCGGCAGTGGATACACCAGGCCAGGGCAGGACAGCCCAGCCCCATAGGGCTGGCGTCGGCCTCTCTGACTGGGGCCTGCTGACGTCCCGCCTCACGCTCTCCCTTGGGTGCGTCCTGTGCAGGACGCTGTGTCCCCCAGACCTCAGAAGGGCAGGGGACGGTGCCCGTGAACCAATTCGGTCCAGCAGGCAAGCGGTGCCCCTCGTGCTCCAAGCTGCCCTAAGAGATGTGACTTGGTGTGACGCTGCAAGAGTTGGAAGGGACCCCATCAAAGCAGGGCTTTTTTTTCGGGGCTGGGGATGGTGTTACTTATTCAACTTCCTTTCAAGGGACAAAGGGCCCCAAAGCCGTCCATGACACTGAGAGAGAACAACAGACGGCAACAAAGGAGTCAGCGAAAGCACCGTCTACAGAACTGCCGATGGCATTTAGACGTCAGCCAGGTGGCGGCTGTGACCCACGGCCTAAGGTGATCCTGTCACATAAACAGGCTTCTTACTATGTGTTTTCATAGTTGAATTTTGTATTTTTAATATTGCAACAAAGTGGTGAAATACTGAAGTCTGCAGTTTTCCTTAGCCATAGGAAAATACATATATTTAATGCTCAAACGCAGCTCACTCTGCCGTAGCATTATTTTGAGTCGCTGATACCGTGTTTCACGTGTTTTAAAACAGTTTCTTTCTGGAAACTGAAGCTCAGCTCAAAGGCAACAAAAGCTAATCAATTCCAAGTTCCTGAGGGCCCAGGCCCCGTGTTGGGATGTGTTCGACCCTAGGAAGCCGCCACCTTCCCAGGCCCCAGGGATCCCGCCCAGGGGCAGTTCCCAGGGCCGCCGGGGTGGTGGGCTCGGCTCGGCTCGGCTGCCCCGCGGGTCCTCATGACTGAGACGCACTTGCCTGGCGCCTCTTCAACCTCATCGCGGGCGTTTACTTAAAGGAACCTGATGAGCCGAGGACAGAAGAGAAAATGAAATCGGAATTTCCACGCTCCTGGTCCGAGGCTTGACTGGACTCTGCTGTCTGAGAACCGAGGGAGACCACGCACGCCACGCCGGCGATGGAACCCTCCTCTCTGAAGCAACTCCCGTGGCTCTTCCGTCCCCAGCGGTTGTTCTTGGTCCCACTTCCCACGTGCGTCATTTCTGAACTCAGAGGGCAGAGGGCGGGAAAGACACGGCCTCGTGCAGGGAGCCAACGGGGACAGGACCCAGAGGCAGAGAGATCTAGACCGTCCTTCTGTTATCTCAGGCCCCTCTCAGACCTGCCCCAGGCGCCACAAGACCCAGGCTGTGTAAGCGAACGACACCCGCCACTGGTCCGCAGCAACGCCAGCCCCTGCTGACAGCCAGTGGACCGCCTGTCCTCCGTCAGGATCTGGAAAACGGCGTCGGCTCAGGACCCAACCTGTAATGGACCAGGGTGTCCCCCGTCACGTCTGCCCTCGAAACGGCCCCAGGCACCCTCTGATCAGCAACCTGGTTTCCTGGGACTTGGCTCCCGGAACACCCTTCCTTCACTTGTGCCAGGTTGTTGTTCTGCGGGCCTGGCCTGTGTCACCGCTACTGTCCCCTGAGTACAAGCAGAGAGCGGCTCTTCAGAAGAGCACGACGCCCACTCGGGAGGGAGCATTGCTCCGGGAACGCGCAGGTCGCGGCGAACTGCGTGAGCGCTCAGGGCGGGGAGGGAAGACAACGTTTTCTAAAGGAAACGAGGAGGAGGAGGGTTACGTGATTGTTTTGACATAAATGTCCTGAGCCCCAAAGTTCAATATCACGGTGGCAGCAGCGAGGCTGGACAGGCAGCTGCGGGGCAGACGTCCTCGCGGAAGCGGTTTTGTGCCAGGTTGTAGCTTCCCCTTGCTCGGTCTGCTGGGGTTTCCTTTTTGTTTTCGCTTTTTTGATTTTGAGCCTGGCTCTGTCTGCCAGGCCGGAGCACAGTGGCACGACCACAGCTCTCTCCAACCTCGCACTCCTGGCCTCAGTGACCCTCCACCCTGGCCTCCCAAGGCGCTGGGACTGCGGCCTTGTCCCAACACGGTGGCTCCATCTGGATTCTGACAACTCTCGCATCGTATAAGATTTTATGTATGTGGAGCCTCAAGGTCTTATACAAACCTCCCACTTCATTGTTTCTGTGTAAGACTTTAAGTATTTAGCACTTTTAATGGATTAGTCATTTGGAATGTGGTTAATGCTCCAAAAATTTGCCTTTCCATCTTGGAATACGAGTGTTAGCCTTGCGTGGTCAGGACCAAAGGGTCCGATAAGAACAATCGCCAGGACGACCTTGCCCCGTGCCTCCCTCGCGTGCTGCTCACAAGCTGGAGCCTCGATCTAGACCCCCCACTCACAAAGTGAAAACGCATCTTCTCCCCGGCAGGAAAGGCTCCCGGGACCCCGAAGCGGCTGTCATTTCAGGCCGCCCCCCTGGCGTTGTCACCTCACCTGTTTTCGCTCCTCGGAGTTCAGCAGAAGGTAGCGAGGGTCAAACACAATTTTGTGTAATTCTTTCTCCCAGGTGGAAAACGCTGACACCTAAAGAAAGATATTCGACAGAGCTGCTGTTAGCGTCTGACGCTAAGCTGGCGACGTGCCGCGGCGATCGATGGCGGAGAAGCGGCGTTAAGGGGCGACGCTCCCAGGGGTGCGGGGCTGTGCGAGGCGGAGGTGTGTCGGCCCGTGTGAGAAAATCCACACGTAGAACATTAGAAAACTTAATTCTAGACCCACACTCAGGCCTCTGTCTTCCCTGGGTGTCTTCCGGGGCCGCGCCCTTGCCCTGCGCCCCCGGTACACCTGCAGCGTCGCGGCGTTCTGCAAAGTCACATCTCAGAAGGAGAGATGACGTTTTTGAAGATTTCCAGAACCCCACAGCTATAATCAAGGGCGGAGTCTTGCAAATGGGCTGACTTTAGCATGTTCTTAGTTGATTTTTAATCAACATTTAACCTTTTTTGGTGGGCCCTCTTTTGAAACAAACTATTTTGTTTTGCAATAGTTTTTGACTTACAAAAAATCGCAGGACTGTTACAGAAAGTTACACAGACCCCACGCCCACTTTCCCGTGTTGTTATCATCTTACAACAGTGTGCTAGATTGTCTCCACCGATACTGATATGTCACTATCCACAGAAGTCCACACTGCATTCGGATTTCCTTAGTTTCTACCTAACTTGCTATTTCTGTCCTAGGATCCCACGTTACATTCAGTCGTCCCGCCCTGTGACGTTCCTCAGACGTCCCTGGTTTTCGAGGCCTTGCCGTTTGGGGACTGCTGGTCGGGTCACCGGGACGTGGCGCGGTTGTTCTCAGGACTACACTGGGCTGATGAGTTTTGAGGGGAAAGCAGAGGCCACGCGACATCCCACCGCACCGCGTCAAGACCGTGCGCTGCCCGAGTGGCCCTCCCTGCCCGGGCTGGCGTGGTCCCAGGCTGAGGTGTGTGTCCTGTGTCTCCACTACTGAGTGGCTCCGCCCCTTCCACGCTGTCCTCTCTGGCGGGAGCCACCAAGCGCAGCCACACTCAGGGGCTACGCCCCACTTCTCTGGGGGGGCTATGCGAGTGACTTGGAATCCTTCTGACGGGCTGTGTGTCCACCTTCCCATGTTTACTTGTTCACTCAATTGTCTGCTCATGTCAGTATGGACTCAGGGATACTCAGTTCACACTCTGGGTTAGAATCCACCGCTTTACTTATTTCCCTGCTCACATCGCTCCAGGTGTGGCCTCTGAGCTCTTGCTGTTGGCCCCTGTGTGCCTGTCCTCTCACCTTTGGGGACTTCTTCATTTCCTGCCACTACGAGATGCTCCAGGCTCATCTTGTATGTTTCCTGCCTTTGCCCTTGAACCAGCCAGTCCTCCAAGGAGCCCTGGTCCCCGTGACCGGGGAAGGATGTTAGAAACCAGTATCTAGACATGGGTGTGTCCGTTGCTACTGGGATGTTGCTGCTTCTAGACTCTCAGCGGATAGAGCAAGAGAATGTTTAAGTCATTTAAAAAACGAATGAATACATTTAAAAACATTTACTAAATATTGATCATGCCCTGGGCCCTGTGCTGGGTACTGAGGGCTCAGAGGAAATAAACCAGGGCCCCGGATATCGGGATGCCCACGGTCTAGGGTAAGGCAGGTGAGGAGACCAATGGCCAGAGACGGGCCCCGCCCTGGGGGCTCTGCGGGCTGAGCCACATCAGAGGCTTCCAGAGCGCGGCTGCGGCGGAGCACGGACACTCCTCGTGCTCTCAGGAGGCCTGGAAGGGAGTTCCAGGACCGGCTGTCTGTGGTGCAAAGGCTGAGATTCACGGACCACAGGGAAGGCAGGAACTGCAGGGGCTGGACGTGCCTGGCGTGAAGGAGGGATGAAGGGGCCGGAGGAGGCAGGAGGGGCACAGGCAGGGGCCTGGCATTACCTGGAGAGGGACGGGAGAGGAGACAGATGCGGCATGCGTTTCAGGAAGGCCCCTCTGGGGTCTGGCAGCGAGTGGATTCCAGGCAGGGCGGGGAGGGAAGGTAATCGAAAGCTTACAACAACAGAACCCCACTCACATTCTTATGATCTTCCTGGCAGAGGAACTATTTCAATAAACACGTGCTTTTCTTGTACATTATAACATATGGATTTTCTTAATTGACAATTTCTACCTTCAGCCATCAAAACCAGAGCCCTTTCTGTAATATCCAGGAGCCCTTTTATTGGGTGCAATGACTCAAGCTCGACCCAAGGATTGTCCTCATTGACGGAGAACACGTAAAATGACGCTGGAACACGGGGCTGGGGGCGGGGACTCTGGGAGTGCGTCCCGGCAGAGTGACTCCATTTCCTGGGCAGAGCACACCTGGCCAGAGGTGCGTGCGGCTGCCAGGGAGGGGTGTGGCCCACCCCACTTGATTCAGTCGCAGGAATGCACGTCCGGCTCCTAGGGACCTGCAGACATGCCAGAAGGTCCCAGTTCTGTAGAAAATGGGGTTATATGACTAATCCCACCAACTTGCTAAAAATTTTTAATAAAACAAATTTTTTAAAAATTGATAATGTATAGTCCTTGCCCCCAAAGGAATTTATTGTCTGTAAAGATGATGAGAAACCATCTCCACAGTGACGCCAGTTTGCAGTGACACAGCCGGCCACATCCTGTCACCAACAGCCATGCTAAGGGACACTTGTGAAGTCCGCAGATGGGAGAGAGCACAGTGGTCGGGGGGCTTCGGTGGGACTTGGGACGGAGCTGCCTGGACATGGCTGTGGAGAGCAGGGTCCTTCGCTGCCTCCGGGTGGGCACCGCCTTCCCTGTGAGACAGAGCTTCTGTCAGAGTCCCAACAGCTGCAGTGACAATGACCCGTCAATCGAATCGCTCCTGAGAAGGGCTCGACCTCCCTGGGCATGTGCCACCGTCATGCTGTTTATTCTGTGGGGTATGGACTGCACCATGCGCACACATATGAACACATACAGGCCATATACACGCAAACCATGCACAGCACACATATGCATTCACACACGCACGCCACATACACACAAACCATGCACAGCACACATATGCACTCACATGCATGCCGTATACACACAAACCATGCACAGCACACATATGTACTCACACACACACCACACACATATAAGCCATGCACACCACACATATGCACTCACACACACACGTGTGCACAGAAATATGCATAGAGGTGTGTGCACACACACACGTGCACACATACAGAGACATGCACACGTAGGCAAACACTGGGCAGACAGGGTGAGCCTCCGTCAGAGGCATCGCACCCGCTGGAGGGGACCAGGTCTTGTGTGCAGAGGAGAAAACATCGCCTGGGGTGAGGATCACTTGGAAAACACAGCCAGATAAAACTGGTTCCAACCTCAGCCCCAGCGTCACCAAAGGCGTCTCCAGAAACAGAAACGAGGCCTCTGCATTGCTCCTGGGGGTGATTTGGCTCTGAGAAAAATGGGCTCGGTTTACGCAAAGTGGTCGCAGCAAGTTCAGGGACAGCTAACGAGTGGGATGACGTAGGTCCTGTCAGTGCCCAGCGCTGGCGGCAGCCTCTCGGAGGTCATTACCGAACACACAGATCCGGACGGGCAGGGGCCTGGGGCTCCCGTCCTCAGCCGGCCTCAGCAGGAGCAGCGCGAGATTTCGGTCTTTAAAACCATAAACATCTTGTCCAGCGATTTTCTTGGCTCACAGAAAAGGCCGGGGATCCCGCCGGCCGGATGAGCGGGAGCGGCCACAGCAGGATGTCCTGCCGAGTCCCGCGCGGGGGCTCGATCCTCCGGCCTCGACAAGGCTCCGGCAAGTGGGCGCAGTCCGTGGCCCCTCACGGTAAACCCGGGCCCCGTGGGCTCCCGCTCTGACGCCGTGTCATCCTTGGTAGCGCCTGTAGAACAGGTGACTGCCTGTCCGCACCGTCCCCCGACACCCACCCTCCCGCTCCCAGCCTGTGGCCGCAGGGCGTCCCCAATAGAGCAGCTGCCACCCAGCCCGGGTCATCACACGACCTCCCGCACGTGGCTAATTTCCATCTCAAACACGAGTCCAGTTACTTCAGAAGTTAATGTTTCCCACCGAATCCGATTATCAAGCAAAACGTATCTACTCTTTCACTTCCTCGTGCTTTAAAACGGCCGCGTTGAGCCCGCGCACGAGCTGTGTCTCAAATCAGAGGTGAGTTTTCCTTCTGGGCTTTGTGGGCGCAGACGTCCTGCCGGGAGAGCACTCTGTCACGGGTGCCATCAGCTCTGGATGACGGCGCCACGGCGCCTCCGAAACACCAGCACGACCTCCTTTCAGAGCCGGCCCTCTCTGCCCGCGCCCCGCAGAGGACACGGCCTGTCACCGTGGTGCCTTCGTGCATGTCACTGACGCGCTACGTGAACGCAGCTCCCGTTGACGTTACGTCACGTTCCTCTACGTCGTGTTGAAAATACCAGAAGGAAAACAGACAAGGAGAGTCTCGCGGGTGAGCGGGGAGCGAGTGCCCTGGCAGCTGCCCAGGGAGACCCCAGGGGTGCAGGCGCCCCCGCACCCTCGGCTCCCCACGCGCTTTAACCCTAACCCTAACCTTCTCGTCCCCACGCGTTGCAGACAACCCCGCCGACGGCCGGCGCCGCGTCTCCCTTTCCTGCCGCCTCCTCCCATCTCCTCCCGTCTCCTCTGGTCTCAGGGAAACTGACCGAGGCCTCAGTCGGGGTGAAGTCCTTCCCCCCGACCCCGTGGAGTGATGTCCGGGTGGGGGAGGTGGCCCCCAGGCCCCAGCCACACAGGCCTCTAGTGGTCACCTGGACCCACCCACCTCTGCTTCCAGGGCCACCCCTTGTCCCTGCGCTTCCGGCTTCTCCACCCCGGCCCCCCCACCCTCTGCCACTGGCTCGTCCTCACTCGCCTCCCCAGCTGACCCCCTTCCCGGGACTCCCCTGTGGACCTTCTGGCCCCCACTGCGCCTCCCACGGCCCTAATGACACCAATTCCATATGGACGGCTTCGCTGCTGGGAATCTACCTGGCTGTCCTCTGTCCCTTCCAACACGTCCCCTGGCGGCCCCCTCTCCTGCTGTCCCTCCACTCTGCCTGCAGAGATGGTGACCAGAACGCTGCTCCTTTCAGTGTCATGACCCTCTTCACCCAGCTTCCCAGAGCTCCTTGCTGTGTCTTCCATGTCCGGCTCTGGAGTCCCCAACAGTCAAAGGTGCCGCAGCCCAGGACAAAGGGACCGGGCTGGCGGTGGGTGGGGGGGAGGGGGGCCGTGCTCCTGTCTCACCTTTGAAGGTGGGGCCGGTGCTCTCATCCCAGGTCCCCTGGAATCAGCCCCACACAGGGGCTTGGGCACAGGTGGTGCATTTGGGAGACGATTCCAGGCAGTGCTGTAAACTGACACGTGGGAGGACAGCCAAGGACGGCGCCTGCGTGAGCCAGAACCAGGTGGGCGGGGGGCTGAGTGGGAGGCTCAGGCAGAACCTGCCCGAACCTGCCCGAGATTCATCCCACAAAGGGCTGGGAAGTGGGAGCGTTACCTGCTGACCCCCACCCGCCTTGGTCGAGGGTTACTCCTGGGGATTTTAAGTCCCTGGAGTTTAGAGAGGAAAGTGGTCAGCACGTACAGAATTCCCTGGAGCCCAGGTGAGCCCAGGTGAGCTCAGGTAAGCCCAGGGGAACTGCAGGTGAAGGCAGGAGTGAGCCCAGGGGCACGGGGCGAGGCGTCCCCCAGCAGGCCCCTGGGACACATCGACTCCTACCCTTGGTCTCCAGGGCTCATACCTTACCAATTGCAGCTTTTTCTTGCATTTTGATGATTAAATAAAATTTCACACTGCTATCCCACGACATAGCCAATTCCATTTACCTTGGAAGCTGTTTGCACCTTAAGGACAGATAACCCCACCCTAGAAATTGGAGTGGGTGGGGCACAGTCCCCCAGGGCACCTTCGCTAGAGCCTGGTCTGCCACGAGCAAGGTGGCCATGGCAAGGTCTCAAGAGCTTCGCAGGCAAAGCCCAGGGCAGCCCACCCGGCACAGAGGGGCTGCAGCAGAGATGCCGCAAGGAGACACAAATCACAGGAAAAGAGTGAGATTTTACAAATAGTAAATAGCGAATATTTGAACTTCTCACTGCTCAAAGCCCAGAGTGTGCTGCCACACAGATTCTCAGGGACGCTCAGACGTTGCCGACGGGAGAATAGACTGTATTAAAACCATGTTGTAGAAAACAGTTTAGCAACACAGGTCGAACGTTTCCTGCCTGTGGGAAACAACTCCCTTCCACACACACACAAATCAAAGTTCACTTATCAGCATGATCATCAGAGTATTATTGTCTAAAATCCCCAACTGGAAAATTTTCACACCGACAACCTTGTGGCTGGTGCCCACCTTAGCGCAGGGAGAGGCCGTGGTAGCCGGGCCGCCGAGCCCCGGTCTGGGAATTCCTCCCTCGGACACAGACGCGGGTCCCAACCCCAGGGCCTCGGCTACGTGGCTGGCCCGTGACAGCCAGCGTCCTGAGTCCCACCCCTGCAGGGACCTGGCCGGGGGCACCACAGAGAGAGGACCCAGGTGCGTCCCGGAGCCTGAGCCAAGACCTCGTGTCCTCACGAGGCCTCTGCTCTCCTGCGGGGTTGGCGTGACCTGCTTCCCAGGATGCTCTGCAGAAGCAAACGTTCTCGTCGGAATGTCCGTAATGCGTTTATCTAGGTAGGCAGGTCAAATTAATAATCTGCTGTTCAATTAAACTCGTCCCTTTATGGACCGAAGTTTTAAAAGAAAGCTCCATTGTAGTTTGCGCTAGTAAGAAACAAAACAAAACGCACACACTAACCTCCCACCGCGCCGCCGCTTAGCAGCACAAAACCACAGAACCGTCCTCCCTCCCCGAACGCAGGATGCCCTGGAAAGGCCCAGACTCTGCCTTCTTACACCACTCAGAGCCCAGGCCCACACTGTCCCGTAAGTACGTGCATTTCTGAACTGAAGGATTGAACAAATGCAATAAAAAACCTTATTAGTCACTCAGTCCATGAAACAGTGAGCTTTCTCTCCTTCATTTTTTAAACAACTAGAAATCCTACCAGTCCAGCTATCAAATTCTCATGAGTGTGAGCAAATCTGCGGGCGTATTTTATACGGCCAGAAAGTCATAAATGGTGGAATTGCTTTGTGACATCAGCGGTGACTCTGCACTGAGCTGTGGCTTCTCCCCAAACCCTCTGAACATAAGGGTCTGGCCCCACCCCGGCTCTGTCCCTCAGGGCACACTCGCGGTGGGGTCGCTGCTCCGCACCCTGGCGTCTGAAAGGCCGAAACGAATCCCCCACCCTCGATGAGGCAAAAATGCACTGAAAATCTCATTAGTAAAATCCACCAACCAGGGCCATTCGGATAAACTCAGCTCGCAGCATCCTTGCCGTGGGAGCGAAAGGCGACCCCTCATGCAGCGCTAATCCCCCAAATAGGTTTGTTTAAAACTGTGTTGGCAAAGTGGGCCTGGGTTGTTTCCAAAACAAAGAGAAGAAAAACTTGGATACTAACAAAATGAAATGAGTTTTTGCTTATATTTCTGAAATGTCCGTGATGCCATCCTGTTTCAGGGAAGATGGGTCATGTCTCCCGACAGGTGATCCAAGCAGCCCAGACTGGCCAGGTGCGTTCAGAACCTCAGAACTGTGTGTGTCCCTGCGAGGTCCCTGCAGTGGGAAGGGGCACAGAGGGGGAGGAAGGACGGCCTCCTGCCTGAGGGTCCCTTAGCAGGTGACACACCACGATGGCACTCCAGAGTGTCTGCCCATCGGTCTCCAGAGTGTCCACCCACCGGTCTCCAGAGTGTCCACCCACCGGTCCCCAGGGCAGAGGAATCCCAGGATTAGCTGCTTTGGGGGCAGAAGGTCTGTCCCGTGACACTCACTTGAGTGTTCCATAAACCGGGTTCCACGGCTGGGTTGTGGGAATGGGAGTGCGGGAAGGAAAGGCCGACAGCAGCTACCCCCGGAGATAACCCTACAACACTGGCTCTGAAATCAGGCCCAAGCCCCGGGCCACGGGGCGCATGGACAAGATGAAAGCTGGTTCCAGGGCAGCATTTACAGGACACAAGGAAAACCCGGGGAAGGCACTCGGCTCCTGCTGGACACCAGGAAGTCCCAGGGACGGCCCTGAGCTCCTGCTGTCCCTGAGCTCCTGCCGTGCACTGGCAACCCCCAGGGCCTCAGAAAGGCCCGGCCCTCTGGCCTGGTCTGGGAAGAGGACATTGGAAATGAGGCCAGGCTGTTGGTCCAGAACGAGAAAACCCGTGGGTTGTAAGGATGGCGTCTAAACGGGCGTCTCCCTAGGGAGTGGTGGGCTGCGCTCCTTCCTGCTTAAAGTGCTTGGGAGCCGGGACGGGCAGTTTTTCCTGTTTGCCCCCGGCCAGTGCCCAGTCCCTGCGCCCAGCCTGCCCCTGAGGGAGCCCTGCTCTGGGAGACGTGTCTCCACTGGCCGTGGCGACCTCGCGGCCCTCTCCCGGGCCCTGCCCCGACGCTCCCAGCCACACCTGTGGGGTGGGTGCCGACCCCAGAGGAAATTGTTTCGGACTCGGGGGCATTTACAGCGTTGGTCATAATCATGGTCAGAGCAGCCCCGCTGCTGCCTTCCGCCTTCGGTCTGGCCGTGTGAGGGAGTCCGACGGGCTAACACACTGCGTCGGGCCCACTTTGTACCCAAAGCCAAAGCAGGAAATAAAAGTCCGTGGAAGGAGATTAGGTTATAAAATACCCCCAACCAATCTGAGAAATCAGCTACAATTCAGATATTCTAATTTTATTAAAAAACAGTCGCATTGATTCGTAGGCGCGGGAGTCCCACTGGGTAAGTGACCCCACCGTGACGTCACGCGTGGGCTCCGCCATCTGGCCTGGCTCCACGGGAGTCTCGCCCACACGGGCAGGTGCGTCCTGGGCGCCGCCCGGGGACCAGGGCCTTGGGGAGCCGTCGCGCCTACGTCTCAGGAACCTCCACGCGCAGGTGCGGGAGCCGCCCCGACCGACACCTCACACCTACAAACTGTCCTTCCTCCTCCCCACCTAGTTTCTCCCCCGGGCCTCAGACTGTTCAGTACCCAAACGTCACCCAGCCAAGGCCAGCTCAGTGAGGACAAGGACGTCCCTCAGGCTCCGGGGGAGACCCCGAGCTGCCGTCTGAGGACCCACCCTTAGCCTGGACACCCCTGCGCTGCCCACAGCCGTCCTTACCCCTCGCTCCAGGAGCATGTCTCGGAAGTGGGTCGCGCGCTCCTCCAGGGGCAGGAGGACCTGCGGGGCTGGCGTCCTCGTGCCTTTGTCCTCCTTCTCTGCCTCCTCCAGCTCTGGGCTCTCGCAACCTTCGGTCCTGCATGGGCACAAGACACAGAGGGTTCAACATGCCTGTAGAGACGCGGCCGGTTTTCATCGCAACCTTGGAAAACCCTCCTTCAGGGAGCTCTCTAAGGAGCGAAGAACAAAGAACCTTTGAAAGCCCTGTTTGAAGCCTGACACGGCCACTCAGCAGGGACATTTCTGGGACTGGAGCTCTGGCCTCTGGGCACCAGCACCCTGCTCCTCGCCCACTGCCAACCAGGGCGGCTGGCTGGCAGGACCCTGGCTTCTGGCCTTGTGCTGTTGCAGCCCATGGGCGAGGATGCCGGACTCCGCTGCCCCCGCAGAGATGCCATCACTGGGCGGGTGAAGGAGGGGACTCACCCCCTGGACAGTCCCTTCACGCACTCACGGTTCCCTCGTTGGGGGCAAATGCGTGGAGACGGTTGTGTGCGGAATCGCGTGTGGACACCCTGGGTGCAGCGCACCGTCCTAAGGTCTAACCCAAGGGGAGAGTTTGGTGGCAGAGAGGGAGGCTGGGACCCCACCCCGAGCACAGAGGACAGTGGAAAGTGGGGTCCCCTGCAGAGGGATGGCCCAGCCAGAGCGCAGGGCTCCGAGGGCTCAGCGGCCAAGGCGGGGCCGTGAGTGTGCACTGGGGGACTGGGGGATCCATCGCGCCGACCTCGCCAGGCTGAACCACCAACCATCGCTCCCTCCTTCCTGGGGGGCAGGGGGGGAGACTTTCCTCTTCTGGAAGAAAGGGAGAGGCCTGCCGTTATTAGGCACTAACTCTGTGCCTGGCATTGTTTAACTGGTCATTTGGTAGATCACTTCATGGTTCTACATCTTATTCTAGAAGCTTCTGGAAACCTCTTTTAAGAAACCTAAATGCTTGCTGCTGGGAGAGAGGGTTTGGCCAAATGCAGGCACTGATGCTCGGCCTGGCCCCGCCTGGGGCAGCTCGGACCAGCTGTAGCCGTCTTCGGGGACGCGGCCCGTCCGACATGACGCGCAGACTGGCCCACACTGGCTGGAGCGCTACCTCGCCCTGAGCACGCTGACCCCTCTTGGGCCTGCTCCCACCTGGCCCTGCCCCCACACCTACCCGCGGCCAGGCCCAGGGCGGTGGCTGTTCACAGTGACAGGTGCGTCGGGGTCTAGTGGCAGTTCCAGCGTCAGACCCCACATCCTAGAGAGTCCTCATTTTCTGCTGCTCATAGGCCGAGCTCGGCCGGGTGACCGCAAAGTCCGCTCACAGGCAGGCGACTTGGCGCCCTCCACACGGGAAGCACCGTAGGGCTCCGTGGGTGGAAGCAGCAGGAGACACGCACGGAACGCAAAGCCAGCCTCGCCCTCGCAGCGGGGCGGGTGAAGTCCCTCACACCACGTAAGTCTGGGCTTTCTCACAACAGCCTGGGGCAGATTCCCTCCTGGACCGAACTCTGCTCGGCCCCCTGAACTTCTCAGTAGGCCTAGAGCTTTGGACTTCCACGATCATCCGAGTTGTGCAGTTTGAGCAAGAATCCCGCTAAATCCAGTGAGCCAGCACCCCCACCCTGGACGTGGCATCAGCCCCCTCCCCCGCCACCATCTCCAGTGTGTCCCGGCAATTGCCCTGAGGTGGGGGAGCCCGAACCCCTCCCCCTGGCATTTGCTCTCGGAATCTTCCAGTCGCTGACCCCACCCTGCCTGCTCCCAGCTGCAAATCCTGCCGGTCCACACACGGCGTTTGGACTTGAGCCCGGTTCTGCGCGGAGGTCACTTTTCCTCCTTTGCAATAGTCCCGAATAAAATCTGTTTTTACCGCTTCACCCACCGCCCGGCTCCCATTTTCTCTGACACTCGCACAGTGTTTTCAGCTGAGGGTGACTTTGCCCCTGGGGACGTTTGGCCACATCTCAAGGTGTGCGTGGCTGTCACAACTGGGGGTGCTGCTGGCCCCCGGGAGGGGAGACCAGGGAGCTGCTGAAGTTCCCACGACACACAGGACAGCCCCACGCCTGGCACCATCGCGCCCTGTGGCTGCCGCCGGGAGGTGTGGGCGCCAAGGGAAGCCTGCTCTGCCTCCTTGCTTGGGGGGGATGGGGACGGAGAGGAGAAGGGACAACGGTCATTTAGGGGCCAGTCCAGGGCTCCCGACACCTGCCAAGGGAGCAGCTTTCCCATCACGTCTGTCCAAGGAAATGTGAGGTGCGCGTGTTACCATTTTTAGGATGTGCCAAGAATATACAACGTTCTGTCTAACAAGGGGTTTTCATTCACAGAGGCTGCAACATGGATTAATCCACACTAATACACGATGTGCAAAGAAAAGATTGCGCAACCCATGGGGGAATCTTATTTATAGACCAACTATTTCAGGAGAACTTACATTCTTTGCTTCTTATGCGATTATGTGGAATTTTGAAAAAAGAAAAGAAAATTACTAGTGGATTTGCAATTGTATCATATTCCAAAGGGTATAATTAGGATTTCTCTGTAATAAATTTTCATTAGTTAAAAATAGAAGTGTGAAACAAGGCTTGCATTGTTGTAACTTGAAATGAGATTAATAGGAGCCTTCTGAGCTCACCAGTGATGGCGTATTATAGCTTATTCAACAAAATATTTTGTTCAGAACCGCTAAATGCCTTCCAGAGAGCTGAGCCATCAGTTCAATTAGAGTCGGTCAAAAGCAAATGCAAACTAGCTAAATATATTTTTAATATTCTTGTGGCTGAACGATTTTTGTACTTTTAACAAAGAGCCAGTTCTAATAGGTTTTATAAAGACAGCTGAAGCCGCGGTTTACTGAGGGGGAGGCAGCGTCCCTGTGACGCTCTTTCCCACGGGCACCGCTGGCCGCGGGGAGCGGGTGGTTTCACTGCAGCTCGGAGCCTGGGGAATTTGACGCTTTGGGAAATTTTCCAGGTCCGACGTATGGCTTGAAAGGGTCTTCTTGGTCTCGGCCAACCTTTCTCCCGGGCAGGTGTTGCCCACATCTGGGCACCGCAGCCCTGGAGTCTCCCCACTCCCGGGACGGCACACCCCGCCTTGCCTCTGCCCAGCCGAGACAGCGTGGCAAGCACCGCCCGGAGCTCTCCTCTCCGGGTCCTGGCCTCCCCCGCCCTCTGAGCTGTCAGCTGAGCCGTTAACGGTGCGCGTGCCTTTGCGGGTGCACGCACGTGGCGTCCTGCTGGTAGGTCTGCAACGCTGAGCTTCTCCCGCTCTGCCCATGCGCAAAAGGCAGTGCATTGTTAGGTAAGATACACGAGACCTGGCCTCGGTGGAGGTGGATCCAGACACTGAAACTGCGGCAGCTATTTCCCCTTGTGAACAACAAACGTTCATTATCTATCTGAGGCCGGGGGAGCTCGGGCCCCTGGGCTGTGCACATCAGCTGTGAGCCCGGCGGTCACCCCAAAACCCCCAGACAGGATCCTCTCTGCCTGGGCTGTGTCTGCAGAGCCATCCTGGGGTCGGAACAGCTGCCCTGGCGGGAAACCACAAACACCAACCAGCTGCCCGCTCCGGTCGAGAGCAGCCAGCCTGCACTACCCCGTCTTCCCAGCCCGGCCGAGGCACCCGCCACTCACTCGCACACGGACACCCACGCGTGTCTTCACGGCGTCACCAGCCAGGTGTAGGCTCAGACCGTGCTGGACAGATCCAGGTTCAAAGCTCTATTTGGTGGGACGCATTCAGGTCTTTACTCGTGGTATTCCCATGTGAGGGGGTGGCAGCACCCACGTCACATGGCTGTCTTGAGGGTTTAAAATGATCCGAGTTAATCCCCTAGAGCAGCCCCCACTCCCTCCCTCCCTCCCTACTTCTCCCGTGGGCAGAATGTGCCCCGCCCGGTACTAGGCACAGGGGAGATTGTGGCCAAAATAAGCCCACCCCCGCCTGCGGGCAGCACCGTCTGCGGGACGTGAATGACACAGTCGAGCACACGCAGAGCGGCAGCTGCAGTGGGCGTCAGCGCCGACGTCTGCAGGGCAGGGGCCTTCGGGGCCGCAGGGCTCCTCGTGGGGCCTTTGGGTGGATGTTTCCACTAACGCCGTCGTTTGAGAGACCACGTAGGAATAGAAGACCTTTGAGCTGACCGCTGCCCCAGGGGGGCATGAGAGGGGGACAGAAATAAGCAGGGACTCAGGTCCAGAGGGGTCGCTGGCACCGTGCTCTCCCCATCTCAAGTAGAGAGAATATGGACGTGAGTGAGGCTGTGTTCTGGAGAATTCCACCTGCCCAGGAGTTGGCTTTTAGGTGTTTCTGAGCCTTACAGGTGAGTGTCACTTATGGTACAACCTTGGCTGAAGTATGGAAACTCTCCAGACCTTATCTGGGGTAAAACACATTTTGAACAAAATGACCTTAAAAAGCCTCACAGCCCTACAGTTCTACGCTGCAAATGTGATCCTGCTAATCTCATCCTCTTGAAATATTTAAACGTCTTGACTCTGCCATCGACTTACTAGCTCTGCCTCCCAATTTCACAGTCCTACAAATTTGACAAACAAGCCTCCCCGCGTCCTCATCCAACGTGTTCATAAAACGTTCCGCAGGAAGTGCCAAAGACAGGCGCCTCCCGCAGGTCTGGCCAGACGCGGCCCTGTCGGCGGACAGTGTCGCTCCTCCGGGCTGGTGATGGGCGGCCAGGCCGGGGGCGGTCACCGTGGCAGAGCCGCCCCGGGGCCCTGGCCCAACCCCCGTGCGGCCTGTCTGGGTCCGCAGGTGCCACACTGCCACCGGGGGTCCCTGCTGACGGCCAGTCCATGTGGCTCCCAGGGACAGTGCAGCCCCTTACGTTCGGTTTTGCTGTGACAGACCCGTGTCCCCTGCAGCTGTGCCGACAGCTACCAACCGCAAAACCGAAGCCACGGCCAGCCTCGCCGGGGGCGTGGGCAGGAGCGGAGCTGGAGCCAGTGTGCCGGGAGTCCAGGGAGTGAGGCCTGCGGTACAGTGAAGAACACATTCTGCCTTTGCCCCCAAGTCCCAGCAGAGAGCTCCCCAACTCCCAGAACGTCCTCAGTGACAGGGGGGTCTTTTGTG